TATATATTAAATTGAAAATGAAATGTACAGTAGTGGATAAAAGTATTGGCACTCTAAGCAATCTAATAGATAAACATTTGTAACTACTGAAAAACTTACTCCTACATTTTTATATACAATATTTCACTTGTCCATATATATACAAAAACATAACAGCATAAATAAAATAGCTAATATAAAACTAATAAAAATATGTCCTAAGATCATTTTACGTCTGTATAAAGTTATTGAAACACATATCGATAGCTTTATTTATCCGTACTATTTCATAAAATATTTTCTATTTATTGTTTTCGTGATCATTTCTGTCGATCTGTAACAATTTAAAAGTTGATTTAGTAAATTAATTTTTAAGATAAAATACTTCAAAGAAGCTGTTATGGTAATCCCAGCACTATTACGCGGATTAAAGGCAAATTAAATACAACCAAAATAGAGGAATGAAAAATAATTAACATAATTAAGCAGTACATAAATATAATCATAGAAAATTTAAGCACAGATAGTAAACGATTATAACAAGGAAGTTAGTTTGAAAATTGTATTTAGGGTATTTTGAAATGCCAGATATTTTGCAAGTGCCACTCGAAAAAAGACATATCAATGAGGCTGGAAAGGAAAAAAAAAGAATTCAAAAAAATATTGCATATTTAGATTGTGTTATTCCCAGATCAATGTAAATTTAACATAGTCAAATCAGATGGTAAATTCTTAATATATTGAAAGTATAACACTAAAACGGATTTGAAGTATTTGCATCTTATAATAAAGTGTAAAAATAGTTATCTAATTTGAGGACATATAATACTCACTAAACTAAGTAAAAAGTGCTTAATATATACAAAAAAAAAAACATATTGTTGTAGATAGAGACGTTTTTCTTTTCTGAAAATATCTTGCTTTTCTCAAATGACTTGAGAGGCATTTTCTATACACTATTATAATTGTCCAATATCATTTATAGGTGCAGAATATGCTAACAGGGAAGGGTCCCCAAGTATAAACTACCGATTTTAATGAACTTTATGTATAATGTACTTTTTGAAAAAATATTTGATATATATATATTTTTTTTTTACGTGCCG